CCATGAAGGGCTCCGTGGTCCACCCCGACTGGAAGGTGTTGAAGTCCACGAGTAGGTCAACGAACCGTGGACCCTATCACGGTCCGTGAACGTTGTCGTGGTTCACTGGTTCAGGTGATTTTCTGCTGCATTTTCTAAGTCTGGTTTTCGAGGTGTTACAGAGACTTACACCTGCGTAATCTTTTTTTAAATCGTTTAAGAATATGTCGCACTCTGCCATGTCCTACTTCATTGTCATTTTTATTTTAAAATATTGGTATGATGAAAAAAAAGTATCTATAATTTTAAAAATCGGAAATATAATAAATATAACTCAAATAGGTTGATCGTTTTGAAAAGTACAATTTTTTAATTTATTTTTGTCAATTTTTTATATATTCTAAAAAAAATATATCTATGAATTTGTGTTGTACATTGAGATCTGTAATTACAAAAGAAAAAAGCTTTTAAAAATTATGATCATAAATGATAAGTACCCCAGCCTATGCCCAAAATCCCTGAGATACACATAACCTTTACTAAGGTCTTATTACCCCCTCCCCCTCCCCGAACATATTTTATATATAATTTTCTACCCCTTTTCGGCTTATGTGGCACTATCTTGTGGGCCCAACGCATGTTGACAAATTTTTCAAGGATAGTGCCACGTAGGCCGAAAAGGGGTAGAAAATTATATATAAAATAAGTTCGAGGGTAATAGGACCTTAGTAAAGGTTAGTTGTGTCTCAGGGATTTTGGGCATAGGCTGGGGGTACTTATGCATTTCCCCTTTCTTAATTATTACATGACATCTAAGTAAATAATGTATGTTAATTAAAAATAATATTATTTAATCAGTTTATCTGTTAAAGTGAATTAGTTTGTATTTTGAGTTAATTTAATTCTATCAAAAAATCTTGAACAATAAGCTTATTTTAATGTTTACCCCTCGGGATGACCTAGTGAATTGGGTTTTGGACTTCTATGTTGGAGGTCTGAAGTTCGAAACCTATTGCCAGCGAAAGCAAGAGATTTGCCTTCTGGGTCGAGTTGTACCGGGATTGCCTAGTACAGGTTACATCTCATATGTAATTTGCGAGCTATTGCATAGGAGCAGGGGTTTTATCCTGTGTGCATCCAAAGGGTAGCGACTACGAATTTCCCTTGTCATAAAAAAAGTTTATTTTTAATGTGAACGATTTCGAAAGTGTTTCGATTATATTAACAAAAATTGTGTTTATTTGTACTTTTTAAAAATGTATTAATTATTTAATTTTTGTATTTGATAATTGGATATTTATTAGGAGAAAAAACATAAGAAAATGAAAGAAAATATGAGTGAGTAGAAGAGAAGTCGTTGTGTTGGTGAATTTTTGTGTCGTGTATGTAGGGATGTTGTCCGTCGCTTTAATTACAAATAATTATTTATAAATTAATAACGATGGTGTCCATCATTTTTAATTTATTTTAATTTATAATTTTTTTTAAAATAAGCGACGGACAGCGTTGATTAGACTGTCTCTTTCGGTTAACCATTTTTAAAAAAAGACAAGCAGTGTCACTTAGTCCGTCGCTTTTTTGTTCAAATATTTTGTTTTTTTAAAATGACGATGTTCATCGCTTTTCTTAAAATATCTGAGAGATCAAACACAAATATTTCATTTTTCTTCATTCCCTTTTCTCCCTAAATCACCATGTTGTCCCCTCCGCCCACTTACACCGGCATTAGTTGCGCCGCCACTGCCTCCCCCAACTCCTCTTTCTCTTTTTATTAAGGTTAGAGTTTTGAATTTATGTTAGTTTTTTTTCAAATTGATTAATTTTTTATTTGTTAGTTAATTGAATTTATGTTATTAATATAGTTAGTCTGTATATTTGATTGTGAATTAGTGAATGAAGTTATTATCTTAATTTAGTGCTTGAATTGGATTTATTAAATTAGGTGGTGAATTGAGTATTTTACCGTTGGAATTGAAGTAGTTTATGAAATTAGAATAAAGAAGTTAGATTACTTGAATTTTTTAACGTAGAAATAATTGAATTCAAAATGTTTGAAAGTTGAACTTAGAAAACTATTGAATTGTACGATTTTTGAAGTTTAAAACTAATTAGAAATTAGGTATTCAATGTAACTTGAATTTTAGGATTTTTGAATTTGAACTTAGAAATGTTTTTGGTTTGTATAAATTTTGAACTTTAAACTTTAGAACTAATTAGAACTTAGAACTTAATGTTGTCATGAATTTTAAATACTTGAATATTAGGATTTTCGATCTTTAATTATACTTGAAATTTGAAATTTTGTATTTTAACTTAGAAAAATTCAGCTTGAATGTCATTAACTTAGAACTTAATTAAAATTTGTAATTGATACGCTCAAATTACACCTCCTTACAGAAGTATAAGCGATCGTTATCAAGTAAAGAACCCAACTTGTAGGTTGGGGTCGATCCCACGAGGAAAATGGTTTTAGACTTTACTTTTAACCAACAATTATATTCAATTAGTCAAATTATTTCCAGAAACAGGTAATTAAAAGGGTGGTGGTGTTTTGTGCAAAACAAATAGTAAGAACTTAATAAGTAATCAATAATCAAACTCAACTTTGGTTGTTATCCAGATAAGAGAAATAACTAGGGTATATGTGTTCCCCATAATCTTATAACGCAGCAATCCTACTCATAGCAATCCTTTTCTAGTGTATTACATGCAAAGT